TGGGATCCCTGGTGTCACCCCAGAACCCAAGCATCCCCGAAATCCTTTCAAGGGTTCCCCTAGTTAAAATTATTTCTAAAATAATCTTGGGTCAAATCCTCGTGCCCCAAGAGATACGGCATGTCTGAATCCCAAAAAATGGTCCATGTATTTGGAAAAAGGGTCCTTGCAGATGTAATTTAGGGCCTTGAGATGAGGCGCTCAGCCTGATTCTCTGGGCGGGCCTGAACTCTGGAGCTAGTGTCCTGACGAGGCGGCCGTGCAGGAGAGGCCACGCGAAGGCGGAGGCAGGGACAGGAACTGTAGGGCGCAGCTGCAGGCCTGAGCTGGGCAGGGCCGGGGCCAGAGTCTTCCCAAGAGGCTCCGGGAGACAGCACCCTCCTGACAGCGGACTGCAGGCTTCTGCCCACAGAACTCAGAGAATACACTGTGCTGCTGAAGCCGCCAAGTCTGTGGTAACGTGTTACAGCAACCACAGAAAACTAACACAAATACTAAGACGCCTTTTGCCTTTTTCACACTATTCCCTCATGAGTGTCCAGGGGAGTTTCCAGAAGCTACGTGACAAGTGATCTGGGAACGAAGCGAATGTGGAAGAGACAGGAGAGTCCGGCTGTCTTCTATTAAAACAGACATTAGGGGAGACACAAAATGTTCCTTTTCTCATCAAATCGTTTTTGTGTGGGAAGATCTTTCCCTTAAAAAAATTCTATTGATGTTAAAATAATTAGAATAATAAATATTTGTTAAATTTCCTGTTTTAATTTCTAATAGAGCAAATATTGAAAGCTTCACCCCACCTTCACCCAATCAATTTTAAGACTGTAAAGAAGTTCTGAGATTAAAATGCTTGAGAACAGCTATACTAGAGACTATGGGTCTCACCCCACCTCTGACTCTTGGTTCTACTCCTGCAACGTGCAAACCCAGGCCGCATGTGACTGCTGATGAAAGGCGCCCAGCTCACTGTAGGGTAACCAACAAGAGAAATAGATCACCACACAAAACAATGAGCCAGGGTTGGGGCTTCTGGGTTCACTGGTTCACCCAAACATGTTCCTGCTGTCCTGCTCTGTCCCCTTACAGACCTGGTTCTCCTTGTGGCCACAGAATGGCTGCAGTGGGGTCATGCATCACACCTCCACACACCGACATCCAAGGCTATGAAAAGGGAACATTACTGAGGCCTCTTTTAAGATGTCAAGAAGGACCCTACCCCTGACTCATGCTCATGCCTCTTTGGCCAGAATCGCACACAGGCCCACCTCTGCCGTGAGCACGGCTTTCTACGATTGGTTGACCCCATTCAGGATGACCTCTGTGACTTAGAGGAGGCCAGCCTCTCCTGAAGACATGGCCGTTGGACTGGGATTTTACTAGCAAGAAACAGGGACCAGGCTGGGGAAGGTGATCACAATACACAATTGTAAGAGGGGGATTTCAAATTTGGAAACAGGCAACTGTGTCTCCCACCGAGGCTCTCTGCTCCTCAGTCAGGTGCTTAGGCCGTAGTCCACAGTGAGGTGAATGCAGCCCCCTCAGCCCACTGCAGACCTGCAGACCCATGGTGCCACAGCCTCTCAGTCTCTGGCCCCTCGCTGCAGCCCCAGCCAACCCTGCCCTTCACTCTGGGACTGTTTGACATCAGAGGCCTCGTGTGCCTTCCTGCATCAGTTTTGCTTGGAACCCTCCCTGTCCACTCTGACAGGTTTGAGTAGCTTTGAGTGTCCAGAAGATGATTCTCCCAGGAAACACCCAGAATGTTTTATAAAATTCCCTGTGCTTTTCACATGAACATTCAAGGTCTACGTATTTGCTCTCTAAAAATCAGCCTATGACAGACACATGTAAACACACACAATGGTCAAGAGTGACTCAAGTTCTGGAATCTTTCTGTTGCCACTTAGCTGCTGTGCAACTGTAGACATTTAACTTAGCCACTTTTAGCCCATGTTTCTTTATTTCTAAGATGAAGATAACATTCCCTTCGCCCTAGGACTGCTGAGCATTAAATGAGATGGCACATGTACAGTCTCAGAAATTGTCATGCCCATCAGTGTTGCCTCCACTCAGTGCAGCGCCTCAAGGCCTGCAGTCTGCCTTAGCAGCTGATACTTGCAGTCCCCCAGCAAGTCAGAGGGTCAGGGGTTATGTTCCATGTTACAGGTGGGGTAACTGAAAGACAAAGAGGCCAAGTGCTTTGGCCAAGATTCCACAGGCCACTCAAATGCTCTGGTTCCCAGGTCCTCAAATGCACAGGAACCCCCAGACCCACACACTTCCCTGACCTCCTTACAATTGTGTACTGTGGTCACCTTCCCCAGCCCCACCCCTGTTCCTTGCTAATAAAACCCCAGTCCGAAGGCCATGTCTTCAAGGAGTGACCCGGATGCTTGGCTACCAAAGACCATGAAGGGTTTTGTGGGAATCAGCGCAGGGCCCACACCTGTTCTCACCTGGCCAGGAGTAGCAAAGGCGAGCGCATCAGGAGCGGGAAGGAGAGAGGCCTCTCCAGTACACAGTACAGGGCAGGAAAGCAGCTTTTTAAAGACCCATGTAAGGAGAGACCTTCTGAGAGAACAATCCAGAATATAGACATTAAAAAGACAGATTTATCCGATGACATAAACATGTCTATCTGTTGTAAGGCAAAAGATACCACAAACAAAGTTAATTGGACAAACAATAAATTGGGGGAGACTCTCTATGGCGCAGAAGACAAAGGGGCACCAACTATGATATACAAAGAGCTCTTACAAGTTGAAAAGGAAAAGGGCAAACAACCCAGAAGAAATTATGGCAAAGGGTATGAATAGGCGATTCACAGAAGAATGAAGGCAAATGGCCACAAACAAATGAAACGATGCTTGCACTCATTAGTGGTCAGGGAATGCAAATTAAGCTGACAAGGACATATCACAGAGCAAAGTTTCAAAGGACAATAATGCACTTGCTGGCAGGCGTTTAGGAAAATGTTACATTCATACGTTGTGACTGAAAATGCAGCTTATTACAACTTTTTTGAGACAGAATCTGGCAACACCAATTAAACCTTCAAGGCTTGTACTTAAAATTATAGAAAGAGAGACATAGATTCCCTTTGGCCTAGTAACCCCAGCTCTCAGGGAATTAAACCGCCATGTCCTAAGGACAAATGATGAAAGGTGTTCATTGAATCACTATTCATAACAGTAAAAATTAAAATAAGATAACAACTCAAAACACAGCGTGCCAGAGACTGGCCCAGAGAGGCCTGCTGGCCAGCCCTCCAGGGGCCGCTGGGGAAGAGTGGGGCTGGGCTCCAGCTAGTGAGTGGGGGAGCCGTGGTGAGTGACCACCACATGATGCCCTGCCAGGCCTTCCCCTTCCCTGCTGAGACCTCAGGCTGGAGACGAAGGAGCTGGAACCTCCACTTGGAGAGTCCTATCCACGGGCTGCCCACACTCACTGCTTTGGGGCAGAAATAAGGAGTTGTGCACTCAGGTGCTGCAATTTGGGGGGTTCCTGATGGCCACAGACTGGCCTAGTTCTTTTATGAATATGCAGACAGAACTGTTAGTGTGTGGTTGAGGGGAGCCCAGGCCCTCCCAAATTTGTATACTCTAAAGGGGTCTGTTCACCCCATGCACACAAAACACCCCAAGGTATCCATCCCCTTATGGATAAATTCCCAGCCAAATAGGGTTCTCCTGAAGTGGGGCCACAGAGGCCCAAACACCTGCCACATGTCTGAGGACAGGGAACCATGGGAAAAGAGTGAAAGGGACCAGGCGTGTCTGGAAGGAAAAGAACAAAACTGAGGTACAAATCAAGATAACAGCAGCATTGTTACCTTCACCAGCCACGACTCCTCTAAGGGTCCCTATGTGGGTCTTCGAGGTGCCTCCTCTGAGACCCCAAGTCCCCCGTGCAAGTCCAAACCCCAAAAGGAAAGCACCTCCTCCTTCACATGTCCCTCCCAGCCCACCTGCTTTCCATGTTACACAGCTTCACCTGGCCGCTCGCCCACCCCCGGATCTCCAGCCCAGGGTGGAGGTGTGTAAAGGGGGGCAGGGAACTGGTCTGTTACAGAATGGTGTCCAGCAGGAGGAGATGGCTGACCAGACGATGGCCCAGCAACCCTAGACTGCTTAGCTCAACACTGCGAGAATGAGTGAGAGCCAGGCCAGGGACCCGCAGAGCCCGGGAGGGGCGTGTGATGCGGAGAAGCTCATGAAATATAAACCACATATCAACCATGGGTGGAGAAGGCCTGAAAGCACATGTGCGCAACGGGTGGGGGGCGGGGGAAGGGGGGGGGCGAGTGTGTGTGGGGTGTGGGTGTATGTGTTTGTGGGGGTGGGTGGGTCAGTGTGTGGAGGGGTGTGGGGGGGCCAGGATGCACGCGAGCGATCAGGAGCGCAGTCTACGGCTAGCTAACAAGCGCGGCTGGGACAGGTTAAGTGCCCCTCCGTGTGAGCACAGTTCCTCTGAAGTCACCCAGCACCCCAGCTGGAGAAGGGGGAGGCTGACGCTCCTCCCGCTGGCTCTCACGCGCACCCTGCCCTTCTCCTCTCACTGACGTGATTTCAGGCCCCACAGCTGACACGGAGGTCGAAGCTTACTTAACTGCACCCGAACCTGCAACAACTGTTTTTCTCATCGGTCACACTGGTTGGCGTCCTGCCTCCCTGATCAAACCTTGCCACACGGGAGTCACCTCAGGCAAGTTTCCTAACCCCTCTGAGCCTCGCTTCCCTCGTCTTAAAATGCTGTTAGACGGGCAAGAGCGTAATGAAATCCGTCTTTGCTCCGTACCCCGCTGCCTGGCAAGGAGGCCCCTTGTGCTTTGTGCCCTGAGCGGGAACAGTCTCAGTCTGAAACCTGGGGAGTGTGGCCCTGATGGCGGGGGTCCAGGTGCCCACTGACGTTGCACCCTCCAGGACCACGGATGGTGAGGGAGACGGCCCTGCCCATCTGGGTCAGCAGCCGGGATGCCAGAGCCACTGGCTCCGCTTCACCTGGGCTCTTTCACCTGCACAGGGACCGGCACAGAGTAAGCAGCTGCTCCAAATGCAGTCGCTGAAGGAACGAACTTGAGCTGCACGGAAAGGCCTGCTGCTCTCTGTAAGAACCCAGAAGAGCCCAAAGCAGGGCTCGAACAGATGTTTGCATATTGATGTTCACAACCTCTTATTCATACCAACCAATAGTTGGGCTGACCCAAGGCCAGCGGCGGATGAAGGGGTGAACTGAACTCACCGACACAGAGAAGGTGGTTGCAGGACTGGAGCGGATGCGCATGGGGCTGTGTCAGGGAGACAGAGATTCGGTCTGGGAAGACGGGTGATGACAACTGTCACACATTAAATGCACGTAGGCCACTAAACTCTATACTTAAAAATGGTTAGAATGACAAAGTTTGAGTCCATTTTACCATACTTTTCAAGGTGTACAGTGTTGATACTGAACTTAGGTAGTTATAAAAATAAAAAATTTAACTATTTGAAACTGTGAAAGAAAAACTGCCCCTTTCATAATAACGACACACAAGGAGACTTGGGATCAATCACAAGAGTCACAAGACCTGAAGAGATGTACAAAGTGTTCTGAAAGTGGAAATAGGCCATGTACATGGAGGAACACAGGCAGTCACAGAAAGGCAATGATCCCAACGTAAGCTGTGATTAGTAAGATAATGCCATTCCCACCACCATCCATGGCACTTTTCATTAAACTCAGTTGGTGCTAGGAAACCTCTGGAGTGCCACGGTGGAAGGAAGCACACACTTAGCAGAGTGGCTCTCTATAAATAAGCACACGCAGGTAACCAGGACCAGGTGAAGGAGGACCCCAGCCCGCTAAAACCACCACCCCTAAGGGCTGCCCGTGAGCTGGCCTCTCCTTTAACTGACTGACTTTGCCTGTGGAGACTCTGTCTACACGCCTCTTGCATGTGCCCTTTTCTACCTGGGCTCTCACACACAGCATCATGCTTGTGCAGTCCATTCATGATGCTGCCTGACGCTGCCTCAGTTCTGTGTTCTATTCCAACATCTGGCTATCCCACCATCCTCTTGTCCACCCTATCGTTTACACTCACTTGGGTGGTTTCCAGTTTAGAGATATTACAAATAGCTGGTCTTTTGATCTTCATTTATGGACAAATGTTTTGGGCATCGTCCTAAAATTGGGACGATTAGGTCATTAAGAAAAAAGATTTAAAAGAACAGAGAATGTTTGGTTGCGTGGAAAATGGCAACGGGGTCTCACTCTACCAGAATGAAGATAAATTATAAAGCCGTAGCCCTGAAAGGCATATCCCCCAGTACCGACACGCGCACGAGAGCATAGCCAGCAGGCACCCCGCGCTGAGGCACACCACACACACGACACACAGGCCTGCACCACACACTCCACCAGTCAGCACAGACAACTCAGGGCTGGACTTCCCAGACCAGATAACTGAGTGTCGCGGTCCCTTTCAAGTGGTACCAGAGCACAGGCCTGCAAGTATCCAGGAGACGGCTGATGGAGAAGGGAAGAAGAGAGAAAGCCCTCCCCCCGCCCCCACCGCCCGTGGCTTTAAAGGGAGAACAAAGTGAACGGGATCAGAGGGTGCAAGGTGATGGCAGCGAGGCTGAAGCCATTTATCACTGCCAGATGTGTGAAGGGTCAGGCTGCGGGGCATGCTGGGAGTGCCAGCAGGAGTGCCTGGATCCCAGACGTGGCGAGAAATAACCTGTCCAGTGAGTGAGGGACCAAGGAAGGACTGCCAGGGCCCTCCGCACAAAATGACAACATGCTCTCTTTTTTGTACAGGCCAGAAGGGGCTGGGGGCCAGGGCAGAGACAGCGGCAGCTTAATAAAGGGCATCAGTCAGAGCGCTAAAAATACCCTCCCGCTTGCCGGCAGGCGCACCCTGCATCTGCCCGCGGGCCTCCTGTGCCTGGACGGGCCTGTGACACAGAAGGACAAATGTTTGCCCAAAGAGGCCTGGTGTCAGGAGGCACGCATGGTCCTACTGTGACACCTGCCCTCTCCAGCCTCAGCCCTCCAGCTCCCTCTAACAGGCATAACCCCAGGAGAGAAAAGGGGTCATGAGTGTGTTGGGGTGAAGCCGAACCTTCTCTAGCCTCTAGGAGAGCACAAACACGGCCCCTTCGGACAGGATGGCTCCGAACCCAGAGACAGCCAGATTTCACAGGGGATCCCAAGTCTGAGGGGGGTCCCCCATTACCGGCCACGGAAACTCCCAGTCAGCTGAGGAGGCCCCACAGGCTCAGTTAAGCTGCTGATCTAGAACCAAGAAATACCTCTGCTCTGCCCAGCCCTCACCCCAAATTCTTACCCCTGTCCTCAGGGCCATCCCAGTCTATTGGGGGAAACTTTGCTTCTGGCTAGAAGCCCCGAACTGACAGAAGCCTCCCTTCGCTTCCGGCCTGGAAGAGCTCTAGTCAAATGGGGGGGTACGGTCTCCCCAGACAGGTTCCCACACAGGGTCATGGCAGACTTCTGCCAACATGTCTGCACAGCCCAGCGCTCCTCAGGTCTCCCTCACTGGGCTGGGCTTTTACAACACAGCTTTCTGCAGACAACGGGCAGGCCTGGGGCTCTGAATTTCTAACACCATCAGGGTATGCGAATGCTACTGCTGTCTGATAGGGGGATGAGCTGTAGCCAGGGTGTTGACAGCTAAGTTCTATTGATGCTGTATTGAAGGAAAGTGTGGGGCTGGGGGCGGCCTACCTGGGAGCTCCTGTAGGAAGTAGGGTTGAAGCCGTGGGGCAGAGGGAAAAGTCTGGAACCAACCTGCCCTAGGTTCAAATCCCGACTTTGGCATTTATTCGCCTGTGGCCGTGTTTCTTGACCTTCTCCAACGTAAAGGGGAGCCCGTGGAGCACTGCGCATGCCTGGCACACACCTGGCCCAAGGTGGGGGCTCAAAGGTACCAGCTGCTGCTTTCATGGCTAGCAGTAACCACCTTGCCCACGCAGGAGAGCCAGGGGGAGAGGGAGGCTGCGAAAGTGGGCCCAGAAGCGTGGGCAGGTCCATGGCCTTCCGCAGCCTCAGTTTCTCCCCCTGTAAAGTGGGGATCCAAAGCACTGTCAACCTCTGCAGATGTCGTGAGAGGTCCGGAGGACACCGCCTGGCACACAGTAGGCACTCAATGAGGGCTACCGGATGGGGGGGCGGCGCCGGCAGGCAGCCCCCCGGCGGGCCGGGGCC